GGGGGGGGGGGGGGTCGCGAGAGCTGAGGAGAGGGCAGTGTGCGGAGAGCCCGAGACGCAGAGAGGAGAGCGCGCGCCTTCCAGCCTGACTCGGTGACCTCATCGTCAGAGACCCACGTCATGGTCCCATCCGACGGCACGATCCCGGCCGGGCCCGAGGTGCCGCAGTACTTCACGCCGTTGACGACGAGGTAGTCGTAGCATTCATTTGTGGGGTCGCCGTCGCCGTCGTAGTCCCAGTAGTCTTCGTCTTCCTCCACGTCAAAGGCGATCACGTCCAGCGCGGCGGGCGGCAGGCCAGTGATGGTGCAGCCCTCGAAGTTCGGGTAGTCGTTCGGGTAGTTGGGCGAGGTGGCGCACGAGCCGCCGTCGGTGATCAAGCACAAACCGGTGGCGCAGACGTCACCGAGCGGGCATGGCATGGCCGCCGGGATAAAGAAGAGCAGGAGCCAAGAGACCACCAACCGACCACCCGCCTTGTTGACCCGCTGCCCGGAGGCTGCGCCAAAGCGCCGCGCGCACATGCCCAGCAGCCCGCCGCCGCTGGCTGCGCCGAAGCGCCGCGCCCGCATGCCGAGCAGTCCGATTGCGCCGAAGCGCCGCGCCCACTTGAGCCCGCCGTCAGCTGCGAGGAGGCGGAGCCGCAGCAACCCACTGCCGCAGGCTGCGAGTAGGAGCAGCAGCGTCGGCGCAGACGTGCTGCACCACCAGGCGAGGGGAGTGTGCCAAACGGCGGTGCTGCCGCCGGCCGGGGTCAGGACCCCGTCCTTCTCCGCGTTCTTCGAGCGCTTCTGCCCCTCAACCTTGATTGGGCCGACCTTGCTGGCCGAGGAGCCACCCGACCGAAGCTGGCAGAGGAGTGCGAGGCACCGCAGCACCAGACGGGACCAGGGAGCGCCGGCCGTGTCGGTGTCGGCCGTCTCGCTCTCGGTCTGTCGCGCGCGAGGTCAGGCACGCAGGTCAGGCACGCAGAGCAGGCAGGGCGGGCCGCGCGGGAAGGGCGACCACGCAATGTGGCGGCGTGGCGAAGTGCAGGAGACGGGGAGGCGGCGAATCAGGTGGGCAGGGCCAGAGGAGTGCAGTGAGCAAACGCGGTGATTTGACGTGGAGAGTGCAGGATCAAAGCGCGCCTGCTCCGCCCCCTCCAGCTCGCCCTGCTCGGCCTCGAGCAGAGACCGCTTGCCTGCCCACGACTTTCCCAGCGCCTCGCCGGCGCGGCAGGTGCCAGAGTGGGCGCACAGCGGCGCCGCCAACGGGAGGAGGAGCTTGCCGACGCCTAAGCCCTCGAGCAAGTCGGCGTGCGACGCGAAGGCGTTTAGCTCGTGCCGCCCGCTCGAGACGGCCGCTTGACCAGCGAGTTCAACGCTCACCGGATAGCGACTGGTCGTCAAGTTGGCCGCCTCTGTCGAGTGCCGTTCGAGGTTGAAGTGCTTGACCGCGTCAGTACCGGGGGCGGCGCCGATGACCTCGATGACCGTCGCCTCAAGGGTCTCGCGAGGGATGGTCACCGCATCCGGCGGTTTAATGACAGACTCGCGAGTTGGGAATCGAGAGGCGTCCGTCGATCTGTCGACCGCCCGCCGCCCGCCCGATCCGGCGTGCACGCAGGAGACAGGAGGACGAGAGGCACCGACGCGGGAGGCTGCCGTGCTGTTAACGACAATCGCGAGGATGTAGATCATCATTTAAGAGCAATGGCGGCGGGTCGGGGGGGGACGGTGGTCAGACGGACCGGGAGGCTCGCCGAGGTCGCGGACCCGCGCACGGGGAAGCTTCACGGGTTCGAGCCGTCAAACATTGAGCAGCGGAGGTGTGCCGAGGGGGACCGGGAGGCGGTAAGCCGTCGTCGCCCGGCGCTGCATGCAGCACCGTGGCGATGGCGCTAAGAGGTTCCTCTTTTCCGCGCCCCCCCCCCCAAGGCGCGCGATACACACCCCGCAAATTCTTTGAGAGCGCCTTCGTTGTTAATAGTACAAACCCGATTGTCTCTTTTCTTTCTTTCTACTCGTCCCATCCCTCGATAATCTACCGACTCCAAACACATAGGATTCCTACTTTCCTAGTCTAGACCGGACGCGGAACCATCCACATCATCACTGGCTCGCGGCAATAAGGGCACTCTCGCATCAGCTCAGAGCACGGCCCGCAAGCACACAGGTGCCCGCACGGAACCGCAGCATGCGACTTGACTCTCGCGAAACACACGATGCACGTGGTCTCTCCCCCCATCGTGGACTCGGGGGCAGCCGGCCGCCCCGTGTCGAGGCCGGCGTCGGCTAGTGAGACGGCAGCAAGCGGCTCGGTGACTGGCAGATGCTGCTCCGCCGCCTCTCCCGCCTCTGGCCCGATCAAGCGCTCGATGGCGCCGACCCGCTCCTCGAGGCTACCCTCGGTCGCCGTGCCGAAGCTCGCCTCCAGCCGCTCGACACGCCGCGGCAAGTCCCCGCCGCCGCCGGTCGACTCGCTGCTCACCGCCTCCTCGCACCGCGACACCCGACGAGCCAGTGCCTCCTCCGCATCCACCTCTGACCGGCGCAACGCCTCTGCCAGCTCCGCATCCTCGCGCAGCGCCGCCCGCTCTGCCGCACCCGCGAGCTCTGCCGCCTCCCGCTCCGCCCGCCTCGCCGACTCCTGCTCAGCAGCCAGCTGCGCCGCCCTCTCCTCCTGCGCGCGAACCTCTGCCGCAGCCTTCGCCCTCCGCTCCTCCTCGAGCGCGAAAGCAGACGGCGCCTTCTTGGCCTTATTGTTCTTCGCCTTGGCCTCCTTCTTGGCCGCCGTTGCCTCCGCCGCCTTTGCGCGCCGCCTCGCCTTCTCCTCCTCCGCCCTCCTATCCGCAGCCTCCTTCTCGCGCCGCGCCGCCTCTGCCTGAGCGGCCTTGCGCTCCGCCGCGGCCGCCCGCTGCTCTTCTCGCTGTGCCTCCTCCGCCGCAAGCCTCTCTGTCTTCCTCGCCCGCAGCGTCTCCTCTGCTGCCGCGCGCTCAGCGGCCAGCTTCGCCTCCGCCTCCGCCGCAATGGCTCGCCTCTGCTCCTCCAGCGCCGCAGCGTCCGCTGCCCGGCGCGCCTCGTCCGCCGCTCGCTCTGCCTCGCGCTGTCGTGCTGCCCGCTCCCGCTCTCGCGCCGCCGCCGCCGCCTCCCGCTCGCGCTGCTCGCGCCGCCCCTTGACCTCGAGCGCCTTTTCGGCCGCCTTCTCCGCCGCCTGCGCCTCCCTCAGCGCCGCTGCGTGCTCTGTGAGAGCGCGCACGCACCCGGCCTGGTCTGTTTCAGGAGCACTGGCGGCGTCGGCAGTAGCTAGCACCTTGGCCGCCCCCTCCTTGGCGATCTGCAGCGCCGTCATGCCGGCCGCAGAGCGAGCCTTTGCATCCGCGCCGGCCCGAAGCAGGCGGAGCACGACGGCGGGGCAGCCGCTGTAGGCGGCGCGCATCAGCGCGGTGCCGCCGTTGATGTCCTTCAGGTTGACGTCAGCGCCGTGCTGAAGCAGCAGGTCGAACACCCGCTCGTGGCGTTTGTCGGCGGCGAGCATCAGCGCGGTGCCGCCGTTGATGTCCTTCAGGTTGACCTCCGCGCCGTGCTGCAGCAGCAACTCGACCACCCGCTCGTGGCCGTAGGAGGCGGCGAGCATCAGCGCGGTCCAGCCGTTGCTGCTCTGCATGTTGAGCTCCGCGCCGTGCCGCAGCAGCAGCTCGACCACCCGCTCGTGGCCGTTGGCGGCGGCGTCCATCAGCGCGGTGCGGCCGTCGCTGCTCTGCATGTTGAGCTCCGCGCCGTGCCGCAGCAGCAGCTCGACCACCCGCGCTTGGCCTTTGTTTGCGGCGCCCATCAGCAGCGTGATGCTGCTCACATTATGGGCTCCTTCGTATGTCGCGTCGGCCCGCCCGCCGCCATCAAGCCACGCCAGCACCGCCTCCTCCTCGCCACGCTCCACCGCTAGCACGACCGCGTCGGAGCAGCTCAGGCCAGCGCCACGGCGAAGCATCTCGACGCTCGAGGGAGTCGCTTAGGAGACTCCAAGAGAAGATGGGCGATGCAAGTGTTGCGCGCCAGTTAGCGAAAATTCTTTAATTGCGTGGGCTCGGGCGCCGTTCCGAGCTAATTGTCCCAACCAAATGTCCCAAGCGCTGTTGCTGAATCGCGTGCTGCCCAGGCGCGGCGGGAGCGGACGACTGAAGCGCGTGGAGTCGGCGCCGTCGCTCCTCACGCCGGTTTGGGAGCCGGAGCACGGGGAGGAGGCGGAGGAGCCTCCGCCGGCGATGCCGTCTCGCGGCTCGCTGCCGACGTACAGCGCTAGCTCGCTCGACCTGCCGATGCTGCACAGGGAGTGCAAGAGCGACGAGGGAGCTCTCCAACCCAGGCAGCGCCGAAGCACCCTATGGCAGTCTGCAGCGCGGGGTGAGAGCGACACGCGGCTTTGCGTGCCGCCCCCGTGTAGGTGGGGCAGCGAGCACCTCTTCCGGAACCTGCTGCCGCCTCGATGGGCGCAGCTCTTGGGGAGGCTGGGGCAGGCTGCCGATGCGTCGCAGGCCCACACACACACTCACACCGCTCACCCACGCGCACCGGGCCTTGCACTTCTAATTGCCGTGGGGCTCCTGTCGTCTAGACGTGGAGTCGCGAGGGATGCCCAGCCTCTTCCCCCACCGCCTTGCGTGTGTGTGGAGAAGTGCACCTCACCTCACCTTTCCTCAGGCCCTCGGAATGCCTGTGTGTGTGTGTGCGTGTGCGTGCGTGTGTGTGTGTGTGTGTGTGTGTCTGTGTCTGTGTGTGTGTGTGTGTGTGTGTGTGTGTGTGTGTGTGTGTGTGTGTGTGTGTGTGTGTCTGTGTGTGTACCTCACCTCACCTCTCCTTAGGCCCTCGGTATGCTCGAGCTCGTGGCTGCAGCCAGCGAGCGGCTGCAGAGCGACCCGCTCCCCCTCGAGGTGGGAGAGGACAATCACCCCCGCCCACCGGCTCTCTCCTCCCCATCGCCGCCCACCCGCGCCGCGCTCTCCTTCTCCTTCTCCGCCACTCTCACGGCTGCGCCCGCCTCACACTCTGGCACTTGGAGAAGGAGCCACCGGCTGGTCTTCCTGCAGAATCGTCTGTGGTTCAAAGGGCGTCACCAATGCCCCCCCCCCGTGCTATTATTCTAAAGCTATTCCAGTTATTGCCCCGCCCACCCGCCCACCCGCCCACCCTCGCCTCCCTCCACTCCTCCGCCCCTCCGCCCCTCCCCTCCCCCTCCCTCCTTCCCTCTCTCCCTCCCCCCCCGCCCCCCCCTTCCCTCCCTCTCCCTCCTCTCTCTCCCTC